GGTTGAATTCATTACGCTTACCTTCCGGAATCTCACAGTTGGGGACATTCTTCATCTTGAACCACACCCACGGCCGCAACTTCTCCCCGGATGCAGTGCACGCGAGCATCACCGTCAAGCGCGTTTTCTGGTAGCCTGCAGTGCGGATTGGAACCGAACGCGCGCCGCGGTGCTCGATCGTCCGTTCGGCTGGCATCTCCACGAATAGTGGAGTCTGGTCCGCGTTGATGATGCGGGCCAGGCCGATTTTGTGCTGCGCCCTGTTGATGCACACGAACTTCCAGAAGGACTCACAATCCTTCGCGCACTCTGCAAACGGTACACGCGCAACGGAAACACGGGATGGTTAGACACTGGGTGAGGGACATGCATTCAATAGCCCGCGCGCGACACGAATTCCTTCAACATGCACCTGCCGACAGTCGTTGGCCGACCTTGGTCTTCACCCGCATCACCAGGTTCCAGCGGTCACGGAAACGCTGGCTCCAGTGAGAGCTCGCGTTCCAGTTCTTGCCGGCGTGATGCTTCTTCATCCACTCGCGGCTCCACTTCTGGGTGTCCTTCACCGAGATGGCCACCCCGTTAGCGCGCTGAAGGCAGATGTAGCGGTACAACGCTGCCTCCATGTCGGGGTTGTGTGAGTGGCGCCCCCCCCCGTGCATCCGCTTGCGGCAGTTAGCCGCGCCCTTGTAGACGCCCGCAGCCGCCTCTGCACTCCAGCGTCTGATGCAGGCGATGGACGCGGTTGACTCCACGCTCGTCTTCTTCAAGGAGCCGAGCTCCAGATAGCGGCGCGCCCACTTAAGCTTCTCACGCACGGTCCAACTGCGGCGCTTCCTCGTAGTGTCCTTGCTGCGAGGGGAAGGTGGGCGGGTGTTGGGATTATGGAGGGTGGGGTCCTTCGGCGTGACCTTCTCAGGGAACGTGGGAATCGGGCCCGCCGCCGCCGCGTACTCATCGTCGCTGCCCAGAGTCTCGTTCACGACGATGTCGTCAGGATTCGGCGCCTTCTTCGCCTTCTTCTTAGCCGCACCCTTGCTAGATCCTGGGTCTCCGTCGGATGTCTGCTTCTTGTTGCTTGTGCGGCGACGAGCAGGGCCTTAGCAAGGGCTTCCGCGACCTTGGCTTTTCCCTTCTCCGCAGCGGTGAGTTTCGGGCGACGCTCCTCCCCCGGACAGTCGTCGTCAGAGAGCACCACGCGGGCCCGCTTCGACTTGGACTGTAGGCGATGGCGCAGCCTCCGCTTCAGTAGCGGAACGTCGTCGTCTGTCCCAAGGCTACATGGGTCGTCGTCGCCGCTTTCACCGTCAAATAAGACGGCATCCGCAGCAACCGTGTCCGACTCTGCCACAGCATCCGCATCCGCAACTGCGGCCGCGCCGTCTTCAGCCTCCTCATTCGCATCCATCGCCGCTTCCTGTGCATCCGCCGCTGCCTCCGCGTTGTCACCATTTGCATTTTCACCTCCGTCGTTGTCCGAATCTCCAGCCCGCCACTCTTCCACCTCGTCGTCGCTCCCGACCGGCCGATTCCACCATTCGTCCTCCTCGATGTTAGCAGGACCTAATTCGTCGCCCGAAGCGCTGTCGTCGTGGCCGTTCTCTGGCCAATCCTCCTCGGCGTCGTCGCCGTTCGCTTCTTCTCCGTCGTCCCCGTCACAGCTCGCACCGGAGGCCGCGGTAGGACTTCCCGCCTTGCTCGCGTTCTTCGCCAAGGCTACACGGATGTCATCGCCGGGCGAGTTAATTCGCCCGTAGTTATTCACCTGCACGTGAGGACGAGGAGAGGACGAGGCTGGGGGTACTTTGTTGCGCATGGTTAGAAAGCCTGCCGTGAGCAAGGTTGAGACGAGTATTGCTAAACCCTTGAGCACCAATGAAGTGAGAGGCCGACTACCCCTCCCAGCCAGAGTGCCCCATCCACAGGTGCCGAGCCGCTCCTATACGAGGCATCTCCTCGTAGAGGACAGCCCTCACACTGCCAACGTGCTGCCAGCAGCGTTCTGGAAGCATCCCTGCGCTGCTGGCAGCAAAAAAACGCTGGCAGCATCATTAGATGCTGCCAGCACAGAGGAATATTGCCAGCGGTGGCAGCTCCCTCACGTGGCAAGTGTGGGCGCTGCATGCATCACCACCGAGGTCGGCCTGTTTCAATGAATATGGTCTCTGGGTGTTTTCTACACACTTTGCAATCAACTTATTTTTTTTTCCATTTATAAGACTTATAAGACACCCTAAACCATCCCGTTTACAAGATAACTCAAGCATTTTTGCCCGTGTACGAGATAAGACATATATGTCTTATATCCGGGCGATGACGGTACAAAGACCATTTGTGTCCCTGGTGATCGCTCCTTATGGCAGCTGCTACTCTCCGAGTACCACGACACTGCTACTGGCAGCCACTTCGGTGTTGAGAAGACGTATGCTCACCTCTCTAATGACTACAATTGGCCACGCATGCATGCCGATGTGCGTGAATTCATACACACCTGCCGAACCTGCCAACAACTCAACCGAGTCTACAGAGGAGCAGTGGTCGGAGGAAACTCGGAGGAGTGAGGAGCGGCGCGCTGCCGCCCCTCGACGCAGGGAAGGCACGGCGGGGCAGGCGAGCGCGGGAGGGAGGGCAGGGACCTGGGAAGGCCAGAGACAAGGAGACGGGAGTGCATGCTGCGGAGACGCAGTAGGGAGGGGTGACCGAGGCGGTGGTGCCAGAGGAGAGTCTGGTGGGAGAGTACCTGACACGAGCAAGACGCTGCAAGCTGACCAGACGCAGACACCTTACTCGACGCAGCCACCTAACCTGCCTCAGCCACCTGTGCAGACGCAGTGGTCAGTGTGTACATACTAGACCCAGGCCGTCGAGTGAACGTAGCAAGGTGACGGCCATTCCGGGAGCACGTACAGATCGCCACACGCTGCCCTCCATGAATAAATGTATCAACCCAGACATCCTGAATGGCAGCGTTGCTCACCAAGTTCGTTAAGAACGTGGGGAGGTGGAGACCTGACAGAGAGCCGGAGGGGACTGCTGGACACGGGAGGACAGTGGAGGCTCGTGCGACTACTGTTCCCCCAGTGGGGTCAGCCAGTGAGACTGGTACCGGTGCAGCAAGTGGTGTGAGTGTGGTGCAGTCACGAAAGAAGCAACGTGACACGCCTGTGTCAAGTGTGAAAGTGTGCAAGGCCTCAGCTGAGGAAGGACCTGTGGCGGGAGATGCACGAGCACCTAAAGCTACAGACTCACCAGCACCTAGTGCGGCAGCAGACTCACGAGCACCTAGTGCGGCAGCAGACTCACTAGCACCTAGTGTGGCAGCAGACTCACTAGCACCTAGTGCGGCAGCAGACTCACTAGCACCTAGTGCGGCAGCAGACTCACTAGCACCTAGTGCAGCATCAGACGCACTAACACCTTGTGGAGCAGCCTTGACAGAACCAGTGACACATCGCTGAGGAACCAACTCACTAAGCACCTGCGGGGAGAAGGTCTCCTGCTGACTCTGCTGCCGCCTCTGTGCACTACGCAGAAAACCAAAGCCTCCACCACCTGGACGGGCTCGCTGACGAACCCACTCGCAAGGCTGCTGAGGGGTGGGGTCGTCTGGGAGAGGCAGTGACCGCAACTGACCACCCCTAGCCGCTGCAACTGCTGTGATAGTGGCCATGACAGGCAGTGACGGTCTGTAGTAGGTCCAACACCTCCAGCACTCCCAGTCGCACCTCCAGAATCAGCAGCAGCAGCAGCAGTAGTAGCAGCAGGGTGGCTCGGTGGGGCTGGTGATTGATGTAGGGCGGTGCGGCTCGGGTTGGGCAGGGCGGCTTGGGCTGGGCGGCGCAGCTCGGCCGAGCTGGGCGGCGCGGCTGGGCAAGGCAGGGCGCGCCGTGGGCTGCAGGGCAGGGCGCGGGGTGGACAGGGCAGCAGGGCGCGTGCTGTGCAGGGCAGCAGGGCGCGACGCGCGGGGCAGCAGAGCACGACGCGCGGGGCAGCAGAGCGCGACACCCGGGCTGCAGTAGGGCGCGACGCGCGGAGCAGCAGGGCGCGAGGCGCGGGCTGCAGCAGGGCGCAACATGCGGGCTGCAGCAGGGCGTGACGCGCTGGGCTGCAGGGCAGGGCGGTGCGGCTCGCGAGCTGCAGGGCAGGGCGGCACGCATTCCTAAGGGCAGGGCAGCGCGATGCACGGGCTGCAGGGCAGCTGGGCACGGGCTGCAGGGCAGGGCGGTGCGCGCTGGGTAGGGCAGCAGGGCGTGACTCGCAGACTACAGCAGGGCGCGGCGTGTGGGGGGCAGGCAGTGCGAGTAGCTGCAGAGCAGCGCGACACTGTGCGAGCAGGGACGGACAGCGCAAGGGCGCTTCGGGCAGGAACGAGCGGAACTATCAGTGGGCCCTAAAAACTTCACAGGTTTCTTGCTCTGAATACCATGTCAAAATAACTGTGCAGGAATGAATGACTAGCAAGCAAGGATGAGTAGAAGTACTAGGTTTGACCTAAAGTGTTGTACTCAGTAGAGGCTACCCCACTACAGCCTACACATACAAATGTAATTCGACACTTGGCTGTGCAAGCACCTCCTCGTTAGGTTCAAGATCCATGTGCAACCTTACTCACCCGGTCGCCGCTAGATTGAGGTGCCTACCATGATGTGGGCAATACCGTATTATTCCGGCTATAGGACCCGCCGGTAAAAGGGTCCCCCGGGACTCTCTATAGGGTACTGGGACTCTTAATTTGGTACCAAAATGTGAGGACCCCCCTTTTGCCCCTAAACATTATAAGACCCCCCTCAACTGTTTAGAGTGTGTTTCATGACTTGTAGTTTTTTCTACTACTGCATTAGTACTACGAATCATATACTGATGTCAAAAATAACCTTGGAACCTACACCAGTTAGAGCAAAAGTTATCTGGAGCAATCCTGCTCAAGTGCAATCCGATACCTGTACGGTACATGCAAATCTACCGTACTCTTCCCCTGCCACTAGCCACCAACATGTCTCTCACTCCTCGTCGTTCTCCTCCACATCCCCCTCCATGTCCAACTCCAACTCCTCCTCCTCCTCCTCCTCCTCCTCCTCCTCCTCCTCCTCCTCCTCCTCCTCCTCCTCCTCCTCCTCCTCCTCCTCCTCCTCCTCCTCCTCATCCTTGTCCTCGTCCTCGTCATCCTCCTCTTCCTCCTCCTCAAGCGGCAAGTCCCCACAATCCTCATGATCCATCGCCGCAGCCGCCACTGCATCCTCAGCGGCTGTGGCGAAGAGGGGGTTCACCCACTCCTCCACCTCAGGAGCGGTGTGAACATCATCGGCCACCTCAATCTCGCCACCATCTCGCATGTGGGCGAGGATGAGGTGATCCTCCTTTCCATCTACGGCGTTGCTGATGCCGGTGGTGAGAAAAGAACGCTCGATGATGTACGTGGGCACTTGCGCCCAGGCAGTTGCGATCCACTTCAAAATCATCTCGGCTGGGGGCTTCCTCAAGTTTCCTGAGGTGTGCACGGTAAAATGTGTTAGGGAACAGGGGGAAAACTGTATGACAGGGATTACATGCTTCAACTTTATGCTGCCTAGGCTCATCTGCGGGCGTGAAGGTGTTGACGCCGACTTCAGCGAACCAATCGTTGTATAGTTGGCGAAGCACCGCCTTGAACGAGCGGTTCACGCTCACATCCAGGGGCTGCAGCAGAGGGGTGCACCCCCTGGGGATGATGGCCGGGATGACTTGGTTCCACCTCAGGTTTGCGAGCACGCGATCCATGAGGTGTCCCCGATACGAGTCCAAGACCAGGAGCGTCTTGCACTGACGGCGGCCAGCAGGAGGCTTGATGAAAGGGAGGAAGATCTTGTTGACCCACTCCTCGACGAGCTTGGAATCCATCCAACCTCGCTCTTGCGCTTTGATGACCACTCCTGCCAAAGGAACCATACGAGCCTCACGAGATGAGAACCGCTACAAGTGTTCCCACGTATTCAACATGGCGCTTCGCTCACCTGGGGGAACACGGAGCTTAGGGATGGTTTTCCGCTTGAAGATGACCATAGCGGGGAGCTTGCGGTCATCAGCAGTGATGCCGAGCATCACTGTCACCCTTTCCTTCTTGTAGCCCGCGCTACGAACATGCACCGTCTTCTCCCGGCGGTGGTGAAGAGTCCGCTCACACGGCATCTCCAAGAAGACCGGCGTTTGGTCAGCATTGACAATGTTCCATGGGTCAATGCCCCATTTGATGATGTTCTTCCTCACGAAGGCCCAAAACTTCTCGCACTTCGGTTTGCAATCTGTAAAGAGCCAAAAAAACACACTAGTTAGAGTTTAATCGCGTTCACCGGCTGACAACATCAAACGCACGAAACATGACAGAAATTGCATGAGCGGTCGTTGTTTACTCTCACCTTTAGCAAGGCGCTGCCCCATCTTTGTCTTCACACGGATAGTCAGGCTGTATCGTGTGCGGAAGCGGAAAGTCCAGCGCGGGGAGGCCATCCACCTCACGTCCGGACGGTGATTCTTCATGTACGAGCGACTCCACTGCCGGATGAGTTGGATGGGGACGGCTAATCCCCGGCCGCGGAAACTAAGATGTTTCTTATACACAGCCGCCTCCATGTTCGGATATTTTGCCTTCCTCCCCCCCCCCCTCTAAGGCGGCGCCTACTCGGATCTGCTGTCTTGATCCGCTCCGCCACCTTAATCCATCGGCGGACGCTGACTGGCTGCACCCCGGCCAAACGAGCGGTGTGTCGTACGGAGAGATTCTCCTGCTCCATGCGAGCTAGCCACTTCTGTTTCTCTCCCATCATTCGTGCCGTGCGACGGTGAGATGTCTTGCGCGCACGAGGACTGGACAACGCACCTTCAACATGGCTCGTGGGGCCCGTTTCTTCGTGGATGAGATCCGGGGGGAACGTAGGGACAGGGAAGTCCCCCACTTCTTGCTCCATCTCGTCGCCGTTTTCAGCGGCGGTGTCATCTTCGTCCTCGAGCTCGGGAAAACCTTCGTGAGAGGGTTCGAATAAAGGAGTCGTGCGGTAGTCGATGAAAGCCTGAGGATGCACAATCGGCGCAGGAGGCGCAGGTGGTGCTGGCGGCGACGGGCTTGTTGTCAGCACTATAGCAGGCTGCTTGGACGGACTGCCAAGGCTTGAACGGCGGCTACGCCAAAGGGATTCAAAGGGCGCCATGGTACTACGGTACGCTACGACACTACTCTAACATGTTTGAAGTGTGTCTATTGATCGGGTCTTGTAGCTTTCAGAGGTGTCACGTACCTAAAGCACAAGAACTGAAGCCACGAAGAGAGAGTCCATCTGCTCGACAGGCTGCTAGACGTGATTCCCGTAGCACGTCATGTCCAGCTTCTGTCAAACCCTTGTGATAGAAGGGAAGAGAGACGTGGCCAGGCTGGGTACAGTTCAGTCAAGAGGATCAGGCGGTTCGCCGAATTTGGGCGACAAACCACCGTCGTGCCTCGTCTCTCGACACGTGTCATACCAGACTGTCGCGCTCGTGAGGCTAGAAATGAGGAATTTGAGAGTGTAAAATAAAAGACACCCCCCCCCCCCCCCCGGTACAGGAACTGTGCATGGTAAATCAAATAAATTTAATATTCAAATAAGCACACCCGGGTCTTAAAAAATGTATGCCACCTACATATCCACCCTAGCTATGTTTCCTGCATTTGTAGAAAGTCCCCCGGGTCCTATAGCCAGAATAATACGGTGCTACGATGATGGAAATTGTCCCAGTGTTTATTCCAAACCTAATGTAAGTTTCGGTTATGAAACGAAATTATCACTCAGATCAGATGATAGGTAGGTAGGTATCGGTCCTGTACTTCGCTTTTCTGAAGTTGATTGTCATTGGGCTTACAGACATATTCTGAGGGATAGGTTGGCTGGCTGTCTTGTCCGCCCTGCCTGCGCTGGCTGCCCAGGGTGCAGGTTGTTGGGCTGAGAAGCCCTTTGATCTTTGGTAGGGTTAAATTTTGAGTAAAGTGATGTAGTAGCGGAAGCGTTTAACTGAAGTCCTTGAACCACCTTGCGATGGTATGTGAGGGCAAAGTAAGTTATCTAAAACAAGCAAATACAAAGGTTTATATAAGAGTACAAAGAATGCGAAGAGATGTAACTAAACTGTTTTACTGTTGCGGTTTGATACAGTGCGACTCGGGCAACTGCTCAATGTTGAGTCAGTTGTGTGTCCTTGCTGTCGCGCTGTATTTGTCAAGTCAAAGGTCGCTGACCTTTGACCTTCGCGTAACCTCCAGCGGTCACTTCAACCTCCGAGGGTTGACTCGCTGGTGCCTTGATATGCTCTGCTTCGCTTGTGCCTTGGTGTTTCGACACGACAGAGGCGCTTAAGATTGTTTGTTCTCAACACTCCCCTTCGCTTCTGGAGTGTCGCTGCTGGTGACGTGGCTTTGTCCAGTCAGCAGCATGCAGTACTCGAACTTTTGTTTTCCGAGCTTCTTGGTCAAGTAGTCAGATGCCATCTCGGACGTGGGACAGTAGGATAGTTCAAGTTTCCCCTTCTCAATCTCGTCTTTCACGAAGAAATATCGCGGAGCGATATGCTTCGTTCTGTTCGCGAATCCACTTTTGTTGGCGATGCGAATTGCAGATTGGTTGTCGCAGAACAGAGTGAAGTTGGGTAACTCGGCTAACTTCGCTTCTTCCAGCAGCTCGCGAAGATAGAGTCCTTCCTTGGTGGCTGAGCAGAGTGCAATGTATTCTGCTTCAGCTGACGAGAGAGCAATTAACTCCTGCTTACTCGATTGCCAGGAGATCGGTCCGATAGGTTCGAGGCGGTAGATGTAGCCAGTGCGGGAGCGCCTATTGTCTGAGTCGCCAGCATGATCAGCGTCGACATGTTAAAGTTTAGACATTGGACTGCACGTGGGTGTTACGTGTGAAGACCGATGCGGAGGGGAGGTTGGAGAGGCGCAAGACAAGGCTTGTGATCAAAGGCTTTCAGCAGAGGGAGGGGATTGACTTTCAAGAGGTGTTTGCTCCTGTTGCCAAGGCTCCTACGCTCCGGTTGTTGCTAGCAGCTGCTGCCATTTGTGGCTGGAAGGTAGAGCAAATGGATGTGAAGACGGCGTTCCTCTATGGCGTGGTAGATGAGGAGATCTACATGAAGCAGCCAGAGGGGTATGATGATGGGAGCGGACGTGTTTGCAGGCTCAACAAGGCCATCTATGGCCTCAAACAAGCTCCAAGGTGCTGGTATGCAAGGCTGGTGGAGGTGTTGGAGGCTCTTGGCTTCAAAGTTAGCGGGTGCGACGAGAGTCTCTTCATGACCGAGGGGGAGGAGGAGAAGGTATTTCTCCTTGTCTATGTCGATGACATCCTCCTCTTCTCTCCATTCCTAGAGAGGATCAAGGAGGTGCAAGGGAAGCTGAAAGAGACCTTTCAATGCAAGGCCCTTGGACCAGTGGGGTATTACCTTGGTCTTCACGTGGAGCGGGACGAGGTGAAGGGATGGTTGAGGCTTCACCAACACAAGTACCTTGCAGCCATGGGGGAGAAGTATGGGCTGGAGGAAGGGAGGAGTGTGAAGACTCCTTTACCCTCAGGGTTTCAGCTGCACCTTGATGAAGAGGAGGGTGAGGTGTTGGAGTACGAGTTGCAGCGTCGGTTCCAGTCAATGGTGGGGAGCTTGATGTACGCTTCGGTCAACACTCGCCCCGACATTGCGTTTTCAGTTTTACAGCTTGCTCGTGTGGTGTCTAGGCCCCTTCAAGAGCACCTGGATGCAGTAGAGAGGCTGGTGAGGTACTGCATGGCAACCTCAAGGGTGGGGCTGCAATATTCAGTGCATGGGCAGCTGAAGCAAAAGGGAGTGGAGGAGGTGAGAACAAAGATTGGTGCACCTGCAAGGCGTGGGCACTTGTACCTCTCGTGCTTCACCGATGCTACCTGGGCAAGTGACATCAGTGATGCTACATCCCATGGTGGCTATATATGCTGTGTTGGAGGGAGTCCAGTGAGTTGGAAGTCTAAGAAGCAAGGAGAGATAGCTCACTCATCAACGGAGAGCGAGTACATGGCGTTGTTTCATGGAGTGAAGGAGGTGGTTTGGATGAGGAGGTTACTTGAGGAGTTGGGGCAGGAGCAAGAGGGTCCTACACCTGTGTTTTGTGACAGCCAAGGAGCAATTGCAATGGCGCGTAATGCTGTGCTCCATAGGCTGAACAAGCACATGCATATCAAGTGGCATTGGGTGAGGAAGGAGGTGAAGAAGGGCACCATCTCCTTGCACTACATCAACACTACCAAGCAACCTGCAGATTTTTTGACTAGCGGCTTGCAGAGCATCAGCATTGGAGCTGTGCCACCTTGTGTGGCATGTCCTTCAACTAAGGGAGGCAGCTTCAGGGAGCAGCTAAGGGAGGAATGAGAGCACGATGAGGGGGAGTTTGTTGTGCCAAAGTACTACAGTGGCACGGTCATCGCACTCCCATTCAGCCTACAAGCCTGCTCAGCTTCTGGAATTTTGTGGGGTGGTCCTTGAACATGTGTTCTTCATACCCTCAAAGTTTCAGAATCATTGAAGCAGTTTCCTAGGCATGGCAACATTTTTAGTTTCAAGACTTATGGCGTCCCGGAAGTGTGTGTTACTCTTTTTTTGTAACACCCGAGTTCACCAATTCGGCTGCTGACTCATCTACCGAGCTCGGATTGGTCTGAAAATTTGTGTGGCAGTCCTTTGCCATGTTGTGCAGGTGGTCACCGAGTTTCAGGACAACCTAGCATCGGAGCAGCACGTGACAGCTGTCGAAAGTTACTGTTCCGTAGTGATGGTGCACTGTTGGCTGCATTTCCCTTGCCACCTTTTCATTGTTGTCATGCCAATGGTGCAGGGACAAGGAATGAGACAAGAAGTACAGGTGGCCAAGTGGGACTCTACCACCCTCCTTTTGAGAAGTGTGGTCTTCCTGGAAGCAGCTTGCAAGAGGGTGCAAGTGGGAAGACAAGCTGACTCATGGTTGGCTTGACTCACTATTGGTAGCCTTGAGTACAGCTCTGAACATCCAAGTATGGTTGGCTTTGCTGACCTAGCTAGGACGTTTCCCATCCTTCTCTAGCCTTTCTCCCCTAGGACTCAACCTTCTCTGAGTTCCCAGGATGGTCCCAACCCCTTAAGAGTCCCCTAGGCAATGTTGTACTCAACCTCTTCCTTGCATCAATGAAGCTACTCGTTTTTTCAGCTGAGCTTACGTTTTTCTTCACTGCGTAGCGCATACACCTCTGATGAAAGCAAACCATATACCGTTGGAACGCAGACACCTGAAGCTAACGTCTGTCCAAGTTTCAGCCTCGTTTGTTATCGGAGCTGATCGTGACGACGTTTTGAGCAGAGGCGGTTCGAAGTCATCAGATTCTGCTTAGGTGGTTTCAAGGGCATCTACGACCCCTAAGTGGACTATAGACTATAACACGCGGGTGCGCTCAGGTTGTGATGAGGAGTGAACGGCCGATGTGGTATGTCGGCTTCGGGGCAGGTACGACATGTTCCTCGTGCCCGTTGAAGTTCTCTGCCGTCGAGTAGTAGTAACGAGTCCTTGTCAAGGACTCCTGCTCTTATTGTGTTGTTTAACACAGTGT